CTGGTCTCAAACTGATAACGATCCTCCTGCCTCGGCCTCCTGAGTGCTGGGATTACAGGCATATGCCACCATGCCTGGAAATCCTTGATGATTTTTTTCAAAGCTTTTGACTTTTATGGGTAGAAATTCCATGTTGTAATCAACCTATGATGGAAAAAAAAATGATAAATTCATAGAGCTTGTGGGAACCTGAGCCCAATATCACATCTAGACCCACAGCGGTGTGTCCAGGGAACTGCAGGAATGGAACTCAGTCCTCCTCAATGTATAACCCAGCAGGATGAGGCTGCCTGGGACCTGCAGCCCCTGGGCAAGTAGTCCCAAGCAACTCTCCAGCTCTTCCACTGTCCTAGCGGACCACCCAGTTTGGCTGTTGGTAGAAGTGGGAGAGACGAAATGTCCTGAAAGCCAGTATCATTCCCATCTGCTCCACATTAGGGTGCTGTTAAATATTACATGTTCTCCACTGCCCAACCAAGAAAGGCAGAACTCATCTCTTCGTCCATGGTTCCCTGACTGACATCACTGGTGACTGACACCCTTATTTTCTCATAACTGGAGCAGACTGGTTCTGAGGGAAGCTTGGAAAGAGAGAAGGCTCTCTCTCACCCACAAAGCCAAGGGGGAATACTTTGGTGTTGGTAGAAGTAAAAAAAATACCAGTTCTAGGACTGAGGTGGGAAAAGGATGCCTTGCAATTGTCTCAGTTAAGGAAATGAGAACCTAGAGAGAACAGAAGACATTCTAAGTGTCTGTCCATCCACCCACCCAACCACCCATCCATCCACCCATACATTTGTGCATATATCCACTTACCAACCCATCCATCCATTTATCTATCCATGCAGCCATCCATCTACCCATCCACCCATCCATCCACTCATCCATCATCCATCCACCCATCAATCATCCATCATTCATCATCTATCCATCCATCTACCCATCCATACATATACCTATCCACCTATCCATCTACCCACCCACCCACCCATCTATCATCCATCA